GAACTCATGCGGAAGTGGCTTTAGCTTCCCAGTGTTGTGCTTTAACCCGCTGCGCCACCAGGGAGGGCCTAGGCAATAAATTTTTATTTTCATAAAATTTAGAAAACAGGAAGTAAATTTGTCTCTGCAGATAACAGGACTTTATAGAGAGAAAACTCTAAAATTTATGCAAATAATAATAAAAATAGAGTATTAGAAGTATAAAGTCAGTAATATTTCTGGTTAAAAAATTATAAGAGATCAGTTGTGTTCCACAAATTATGAACATTCGAAAGAGAAATTAAAGAAATAATCCGTTTGCAATAACACAATGTAGAATAAAACACTGAGGAATAAACTTAACATAGTAGGTTATGAATCCATGTACTGAAAACTGTAAAACACTTATGAAATAAATCTTAAAAGACTCAATAAATGGAAAGGTTTCTTATATTTATAGATCATGAGAATCAATACTGTAGAAATGTCCTTACAGGGATTCAGTTTAATTCCTACCTTGAATCCCATGATGTTTTTCACATAAGTAGATAAAACAATCCTAAAATTCTTTGGGATCACAAAATGCCCTGAAAAATCCAAAATAATTTTGAGAAGAACAAAGCTGGAGGCATCATGCTTCCCAAGTACAAATTACATTATGCAGCTATAGCAATCAAAACATACGGTACTTGCATGAAAACAACCTATAAATTAATGAAACAGAATTGAGGCCAATCACAAATCAAACCACATTATAATCACTAATAATCAGGATACCACTAATACGCAGTGAGAAAACCATAGTTTCTTAAATGAATGTTACTGAGGTATTGATTTAAATATAAGACAATGTATTAGATCCCTTTCTAACACTATTCACAAAAATTAGTCCAATGGATTAAATACTAAAATGTAAGACCCCAAAACTATAAAACTCCTAGAAGGAAACAGAGGAAATGCTCCTTGACATTGGTCTTGGTAATATTTTTTTTAACAACAAAAGTAAAAGTCACAGAAACAAAATAAACAAGTTGGACTTCATCAAACTTAAGAGCTTCTACATAAACAAATGAAATAATCATCAAATGAAAAGGCAACCTATATAACTCTTGCAAACCATACATCTCATATATAGTTAATATCCAGTATATGTCAGCAATTCATACAACTCAATAGAAAAAACATAGTTTAAATTTGAAATGGATAGCAGAAACTGAACATTTCTTTTTTCAAATAAGACATACAAACAGTAATATAGGTACCAAAAAGGGAGCTCAACATCACTAACCATCAGGGAATGCAAATCAAAACCACAATTAGATATCACTTCATATGTGTTAGTGACTGTTATCAAAAAGACAAAAAATAGGGCCCTCCCTGGTGGCACAGCAGGTTGGAGTGCTGCACTGCCAAACTAAGCCAAGCCATGACCACTTTAGTGGTGGGGCAAATATCTCCTCTCTCCCTACTGCTCCATTTAGCAGTGTACTTTGTTGTTCTGCCTGTTCTACTCCCCACTCTTTTTCTGGTCAATCCTCTTGCCACCTCTGCACCTCTGGCTGTACCCCATTTCTGATGCATAAATAAGTAAATCTTTAAAAAATACAAAAAGTAACAAATGTTGGGGAGGATGTGTATAAAAGGAAACCTTTTTATTTTATTGATGGGAAGCCATTTTGAAAATCAGATTTAAAATACACCGCAATCTGATTCAGCAATCTCACTTGAGAATATATAATGGAAGGAAATTAAAGAAATAAATCAGGATCTCAAAGAAGTATCTGCATCCCCATATTCAGTATAGTATTATTCAAAATATTCAAGACATGGGGACCCTCCCTGGTGGCGCAGCGGGTTAATGCATTGCAAAAGAAGCCTAAGCCACTTCCTCACAAGTTTGAGCCCCGCCTGCCCCGGAGGAGATCCACATGGCGTGGCAGACCTCTCCTGACCCGCCCGCTGCTCCCCTCAGCAGTGTACTTCGTTGATCTGCCTGTTCTGCTCCCCACTCTATCCCTGGTGAATTCTCTCACCCTCCGCATCTCTGGCCTGTACCCCAGTTCTGTATGAATAAATAAATCTTTATAAAAAAAAATATTCAAGACATGGAAATAGCTTATATGCCCTTCAATGAAAGAATGGATAAAAATGCTTAAATATACAATGGAATATTGTCCAACCATGAAAAGAAGAACTTCTATCATCTATGAAAACATAGATGGATGTTGAAATCAGGTGAAATAAGTCAGACATAAAAAGACAAATAATGTATGATCTTACTTACATATAAAACCTAAAAAGGGAAAATTTATAGAAACAAAGTTATCAGGTATTGGGGGAAGGAGGGAGAAGTTGGTTAAGTGACACAAACTTGCATTTGTAAGATGAGTAACTTCTGATGTGCCATGTGGTGACTATAGTTAATGATAGTCATGGTACTTGAGAAAACCAAATATTATTAACAGAGTTGTAAATTTTCTGACCAAAAAAAAAAAAAGTAATTATACAAAGCTAACTAAGCTTATTGTGGACAGTTATATCTCACTAAAAGAGAAGAACAAAAACAAAATAGCAAAACAAAGTACTTGTTTTTATGAAAAAAAAATAGTTCCTTCCAAGTGCCAAATACTGATGATAGCTTAATATACTACTATTTAGCTTAATATACTACTATTTCTAGGGCAGTGGGATGAAATCACAAAGAATTTGTAATTTAAATTTTCAGCAACTGACCAACAGATGAGGGTGGTAATTGGGAGCATCTTTCTGGAATTTTTATTCATATAATCTATGTCTCAAAAGTCTGCTCTGAATATAGATTAGGGTTAAAGTAAGTGTAGGCATCTGATGCCTGTAATCCTTTTTTTCATGTGGATTTTGTTTGATGTGTCAAACTCTCCTATGAAAGGTAAGAAGTCAGTGAAATATTTCCTTTTAAATGCTACTTTGTTGTTCTAACTTATTTTGGTTTTCTTCTGGTGGTAAGTTTACTTTACCCCTCGATTACTAATGTCACTTCCCTATTAAATGCAGGTTTATCACAACCTGGTATAGAAAGCTGAATCATTTGTAACTTTGCTTTTGAAAATCATTACCCCCAAAGTCCAGTATCTTTTAACCAGATGCTTTTGACACATTCAGGTAGAATTAAGGAAGGATATGACCAAAGTTCTTTGAAGTTAAAAGGAGACTGTTGGGTTATTTGCAGGACAAAGCCTTGAATAGTGGATAACATAGCAGTTTCTTGGAAAGAACTCTGAACTGAGAAGACAAAGAATGTGGGTTTTATTCTTTTCTTAGTGGACTTGGTTCTGAAATTTCTCTCTAGATCCTAATGTCCTCATCTATAAAATGGCCAGTGGCAATACCCCAAGTTTTTTAGCCATACCTGACTAGATTGGAAAGTGTGTGGTGATGTAGTAAACACCACCCCATTCCAAAATCTGTTAGGGAATGGAATTCTTTCTTGGATGATTTGTACTTCTAGTTCATACCTTCTGAAATAGGCTGCTTTGAATTGTCTGTACAAAGTGGCCACTGAATGATTTGAGAAGCCCATTGATATTTAACTAATACTCTTTACTTTTGATTTCTCATCTACTCTAGGTGTGAATTCGGCCCGCTCAGTTCCTCCTTCCTATCCACCACCGCAGGACCCGTTAAACCAGGGTCAGTACCTGGTCCCTGATGGCATCGCTCAGTCACAGGTCTTTGAGTTCACCGAACCGAAGCGTAGCCAGTCACCATTCTGGCAAAACTTCAGCAGGTTAACCCCCTTCAAAAAATAATACCTACAGGGAGGCAGATAATTTTAAAATAAAGTAAATAAAATTATATTTATAGATGGAACTTTTTTCGGAGAAGCACTGTTGAAATTTATATATATATATATGTACACATACACACACAGATCCTGAAGTGTACACACACATCGCGCACACACACACACACACACACACACAGAGCAGGACCAAAAATGTTTTCTGTTGTTTTTGGGGAGTGAAATCTATAGTTGGTAGGAAGAAGTACCAATAACATCCAAATACATGACCCCTTTTAAAGTTTTCCAATATTAACTTGTCCCAACCCCATTCACTTTTAGAAACTGCCATTTCTACATGTTCCTTTTCTTTTTGAGATAATCCCTTTGCTCCCCTATGAGTGATTCATTGATTTGTCATTATTATCATAGATGTGTTTATATTGTTTCTTTCCTGATATACTGATGCTGATGAATTTTGTACTTAATTTGATGTGGTGGAGTTTGGAAGTTTGGATTTTTTTTCCCTTTCACTTTTCAGTGGGTAAAGGGAGGACTCCCTTTCTCCTCTCCCTCAGCTGATCATCTGTGAATGGTTCTGCAGCCCTGCATATGCCCTAAGTAGCATTTTACCTGCATCTTCTTCCTTAGTTGTGCCAGTCTGGACATGCTCTGTTGTGCCCTGTGACATAACAGCTAGATATTTCTATTGCTTTCACTGTGTCTTAGGTATTGTAGAGAGATTAAAGCCAAACAGAAATAAGGGAAAGTCAGAGGATAATGATGTTGGATAGAACTTGTGTTCAAGGAACATTCTGTATTTGTGCTTGTTCTTCTAACACTGGGGGTTATAGAACTACTGGGTCATTACACTCTTGTATCTGGGGTTCAGTTTGAACCAATTATTCTTCCAGCTGCTTTGGTTATGGTGTTCCTTCTAGGCTTGTCCCTCCCCAAACCTACAAGATCTGAACTGGGAGCAAAGAGATAAAGCTCTACATCCTAATGTAGTGGGGAGAATTTTAACTGCCTCCCAGCATCAAGTAGTTTTAAACCAGAGTTCTTCAATGCTATTGGTTCCGAGTCCTGGTCTTCCCTGCTCCAATTGGCAGATTTCTTATGTGGCATTGATTGCTGTCTATGGAGATTATTAAGGCAGAGCCCACCTGACCAAAACCATCAGAAACCTGGACAGTATCTAATACTTCCCTTACAGGAAAGAACAGAGATAGACATGGAAAGAGATGGCCTCAGTCCAAGATACATACCATCAGTTTCTGCAATTTCAGTTATTTCTGATTTTTCACATTGTTATCAGAATGCATGGACAATCTTCCAAGGATTCTTCCTTCCTCTAGTCTTGTCTTCATTCTTTCCCTTAATCTCTTTGCACAGAAGATTGCTATCAATGATATTGTTAAAGCCCTTCTAACATTTGAAAATGACTTTGTGTGCATCTTTTTCCCATCTGGGGAAATTTGAAGCAAGTAAGCAAATAGCCCGTGGAGAAATATACCCTCAGCTCATTTTCATCAGTCTATCTTCTTGGGCAAAACTAGCTTCTCCCACCAAAAAAATGTAGGCTTCCTGTGGGCTTAAGAATACACATTCCTCCTCTTCACATTACTCCTGGGGTAGCTAGATCTTGAACAAAAGGAAAATGGAGTAGAAAGAAATGACAATGGGCTCTGCTATGGAGAACCTCTTTAGTAAAGAATCTGGAGACTGTGAATTTGTCCTCACCCAATGGGAAAATAATTCATCATGAAAGGACTTAAGCTTAATACACAGCAGTCATGACTGCATGGGACCCTCAGCATAGCTGGATTTATTATTTCTCTATACCTTTTAACCCAAATCAGGCCCTTCCCAGCTTAAGGACGTTTCCTCTGTGGAAATCAAACTATAAGATGGTAAAACTTCCATCCCAATACATGCAAATTGAACTTGTAGAGTAAGCCAAACCTGAGGGGGGCAGATAACCAGGGCTCGGGACTGGTCATCACTGCTCAACAAATGACTCAGCTACTTAAGACCCATTAGCAAGGAAACTAGCCTAAGCTAAAATGACCTCCCTGGAAAACAGAATCTGTTTCAATGACTTTATAAGCCTCCCTTGAATGTATATCCTTTGCATATTTTCCACTCTTCCTAAGTATGCTTGACCTTGGCATGTTTCTCCATGGCTTGGGGTGCATCAAGGGGGGATGTCTGGATATGTCTCTGGGTCTGCAATATTTCTTGGACAAGCTCCCTGTCCCCCAGTCCTCCTGAGTCTGTGCCCTGAGCTCCAAGATCAGTATTATTTTACCACCCACATCATATCCATCCATCCAACCCACTGACCTTACCAGATGCCAATAACTAGTGAAAACAATCAATAATTACATGGTTGATTAGAGTGTTCTCCTAGCTTATGGCAAGAAAGCAGACTATTGACAAATAGCTCCAATTGGAGCCCTATTATTTGGGCTCAAGGTCAAGTGGAGACCTATTATTTTGGCTCAAGGTCCAAGCCAATTATTTTTGTCCCCATTACAATGCTATTTTCAAGAGCTCTGTAAATGTCCTCTCTTTCTGCATGCCCTGAACTACCCTTTCTTCAATTCAATGAGACCTGGATTTGCTCTCTAAAAGTCTTTGCTATCATAATCTATCAGCCATGTCATTGGATGATGCAAAAACAGAAATCCAACTCCCCCTTCTCGCTCTCTTTCCTTGTCTCTATGTGCATATCTCTAATGGGTTTATAAGGACAGCAACAAGAGAATTCTAAAAATTCTAGTGTGAAGCCAAATAGTGATCTTTTAGTGCTTTGGGGCTGGGGTGGGCTGGGGTAGATGAATGGGCAACAGTGATTTCAATTACCCCTGCTGCTCTGCATTTGCCAGTTATTTTGTTTCTTCTGACTGTTTGACCCTGTCAAACAAATGTCAAAGTTGTGTGTTAAAAAATGTTTAATAACAAAAATAAGATGTTGTAATGACACAAAGCCTTATGAACATATTTATGGAATTCAATAAAAGAATTAAAAATATACCACCAGGCATAGTTTTCATGATAATTTGTATGTGTGTGCATTTGTTTTACCAGTTAATAAAGGGGGGTTTGTGGTATTGGGAAGTTTATACAAACCAGTATTGGCTCCTGGTCCTGCTATTCCAGTGCTAGGCATCCCAAGAGCTGTCTGTGACTTTCTATGTCCTTTCTGGAGAAGTGGGACACAAACAAAATTGTATTCTAAAATCAGGGGTATTACAAGTGTCTATGGATGGGGTTGTCCTTCTTGTCTCTTGTCCCTTTGGCAAGACATAAATTTTTATTTTTAATTTGTTTCCTTGTCCTTAAAGCTACAAATCTAATATCTTCCCTGGGCATTCAGGGAAACCCAACCACTTGTAGAGATCATAGAGTCCAAGCACTGCCTTGGACATTTGTACGAGCTTTGTGGATGTAGCCAGAGGCCTTGTCACTTAAGATCCATCCAACTTTTATTATTTCTTTTTTAAAGATTTGTGTTATGCATACAAAAGCTGATTCATGCCAATTCTTTCCACAGCTTCCAGAGGTGAATCTTAATTACCCCCTTAGAGCAAGGAGACTACAACTGGTCATAGTGTTCCCTGACTACCTTCTAATGATTCTAAAATAGAAAGTGGGGATAAATGGAGGCAAATGGTTCTCTCCTAAACAACCTTCATTTAAATATGTCTCATAACCAGAAGAATTGTTTCTGAATGTCTGAAATAGTACACATGACTCTACTACTTACACAATTATTTGATAAGAGCATTACATACTTCCTTATGTTGGTTTTGTTGCAAAGGCTTATTCTATTCACTGCTTAAAATCACTTGTCTCTCTAGTTAATGTTCCAAAATTGTCCTCTCTAACTATTGTGTTTCTCTCCTTGATTGGGGAAAAAGGACATCTGATTTAAAGTATTTTCAGAAAGGCTTAAAGAGGAAGTCTACAGAAACATCCCACCTCAAAGCCACCATGCCCAGGATGATGGATTCCTGATCTACCTTCCTCAGTATATTATGGAATGCCAATAATAGGTAAAAGTATCTTTACTGTGTTTATAGATAGCCAGAACTTCTGGAGAGAGGAGACCACCTTCCAGGAAAGGACTATTCCTAGAGTAAGTCTTCCTTGGCTCAACTTTGTTCTGGTAAGATTCTGGCCCAACTTTGTTCTGATAAGACTCCCATCAGGTAGAATGTAGGAGGCTTATGTCTTGTTTAAATACAGCAATTACTCATATTTTCAATGACCTTGCCATATATAAAATATCATTTTATCCACATTTCACACTGGAGAAATATAAATTTAAACTCCATTCTGTGAGTATTCTTCACCTCTCTCAGCACCATTCAAATTGACCACAGACATATTTGTTCTTAGAATGATCCTGAGAGTGCTACACGTAAGCAGAGGATTTAAAACAACAACAAAATTAAAGAGAACTATTTGTAGGTAAGATTCCTATTCCCTGAAAGCACACTACTATTGTTCTACCCCCTCACTTTCTGACTTGGGTTGTGACCTCTTCCATCAGACACTTAAAGTCACATAGGATCTGTTTTCTTATCAGATTAGTAATGAGTAAAAGAGGGAAGACACATGTGCTAGAGTGGCCCTATGTATTCTAGAAGCCGCTATTATCACCGATATGTCAAATAAGGGAACATCCAAGAAGAGTCTATGTTCACTTCCACAATATCCATGACTCTCCACATTACAGACTCTCTGAGTCTGTAATCTGTGCAGGTTTTGTAGTTGGTTAAGCTCATTTAATTTTCTTCCAATTTTCAACACACTCTATAAAATAGTATAGCAAAACGCTTTTGTAAACTGAAACTAATTTAAATCTATTTGATCAGCATTTGCATAAACTCAAAGGACATACTAATCAATCAGAATTAAAAGACAGATTGCCATGAGTAATAAGACTGTTACCATTATCAAGGAGTGAGAAAGTGCTAAGAGTGTAGTTGTGTTTCTAAAAAAGAAAAACATTGATGCATATCCTGAACACCTAGATTTTTTTGTTCAGTCAAAAC